GTCCCCTCATCTACCCACTAAAATAAATTGGTGTTTTATAAACCTAGAAAATCTAGAAGTAATAGGCATGCCAGTGAGGGCTCTTAGGGAGGAAATCTTCCACTTCCTCTGTTCTGCTTGGAGCTATGCTATGACTTGCCTTCCACCCAGTCAGCCTTACTATGTTCTGCCATTGTGCACGAATAATATTTTTTAAAAATATATATTTTATTGATTTTTTTACAGAGAAGAAAAGAGAGGGACAGAGAGTTAGAAACATCGATGAGAGAGAATCATCGATCAGCTGCTTCTTGCACACCCCCTTCTGAGGATGTGCCCACAACCAAGGTACATGCCCCTGACCGAAATTGAACCTTTCAGTCCGCAGACGGATGCTCTATCCACTGAACCAAACTGGTTTCGGCTGCACGAATAATATTTTTAGGTGTATTGGTCTTCTGACTCATTTATTCTCCTTAAGGAATGGAATTATGCCCTGATGGCATGGACATCTCTGATTTTGCTCTGAGATTTTGTCTGGTTCCTGTACAATGACTGCCTCCTCCACCTCCTCTTGAGCCAACAACTGCCACAGAAAACTAACTTGAAAGATGCTCTCACTGCCCACTTCCTGTACACAAGGAGGTTTTGGTGGGCTGCTCAGGAACTGTGCCAGTCCTGTGTCTGACTGGTGACTGACTCATGAGAAAAGCAGCCTTATGTCTGAAAGATAAGAGCCAACAACTCGCCTCCAGGTGGTATTAGTTTGGAGGTGACTGACCATTCATTTCCTCTCTTTGGGAAGAGCCAGTGGTGAGGGAATCCGTGAATAAGAGGTCTTGCCTGCATTCTTCTCCAGCTGTTAGTGAAGCAGCCAAGCATTCTCTGCTGGAATGGCTAACAGTCCCCAGGGCCCTCTGAATCCCTTCTGCTGCTGTCAGGGTATCAGACCTATGTGTGTCATCCATCCTGTGTCTTCCCTTCATTACTCTTCTCCTCTTGCCAGGAAGCTGGCTGTGTGCACCAGGGGAACTCTGCTCATTTCATTGCTGCCAGATTTATTTATTTATTTATTTTGACCAGCCAGACCTCATCCCTAATGATACTGGTTTCCTCCAAATCTATCCCTGACCCAGGAGTAGATCAGAAGTGATGGTTCTGAACTTCTGTCCCTTTGCTGGGCTTAAATGGTCCACGCAGGTGGGCCTGCCTTTCCTCCCCTCCTCTTCCTTCTCCACCCCTCGTGCCTCACTCCCATTTCCTGCAGGAGGATGCTTTGCCATCCTGGAGCCGTCAAGCACAGCTTTGCTTTGGCAGCATCGTCGCGCACACACACTGGCTGGAGAGGGGACGTGTTTATCACTTTTCCTGGAGATTATCTGTTTAAGCACTTCTCTGACAGTTACAATAACAAGGGCAGTGTGTTGTGTTTCCCAGCAGAAGGACACTTGCTGTTGAAAGATGTATAGCACTAATTAGAAATACATAACATCCGGCCACATGGCAGCCTTCTCCCGGTCGCTCCATTTCCTGATTTCATACAACTTTGACGACAGTTGGTTTATGTTTTCCATGAATATGTTCTCAGAAAAATGAAAAAGTCTCCTTGTTACATGGGAGCGAGAAGACTATTTCTGCCTGAGCAGGTATTTGGCTACAGGAATAGTGGGAGCAGTGGTCACCTGCCCATCTGTGAGCATGTGGGAAGGGGCAAAATCTCAGGTGACTTGTTTAGTAAGAAATATTTTTGTCTGACTTCCTTAGCCAAAACCATCCCCCTAAATCCTGAGCAAGCCTGCTTTTGGAAAGAAGGGGAAAGGCTGTTTCACAATGTTAATGAGTTCTTCAGCTCATGTCAGGCTCTTGCTATCTGACACAAAGCCAGAGGAACCCAAGCAAATACCAAGGCAAACAATGCTTTTTCCTTCCCCACCCCACATCATTTGTTGGCCTGGCCCAGCCCAACTCTAGGGATATATATGGGCATTCATCAGCCTGAGGCCAGTTTCCCAGGTCTGGCCCCAAAGTAGGTGGACTCTGGGAATCCAGATGCTGTTTGCCTACCTACTTGTATAAGAGTGAATACTTTTCAAGGAGTGGCATCATATGGCTTCTAGCCCGTAGAGGCCCAATTGAGGTGAAGAGCATTTCTTGAAGCTACTACAGCACTTAAATATTTCTCACTGAAGCACTGGGTTCAAGTTGCCATGGTTACTTGGTAAATAACTGTGTGTCTTTTCCACCTGATTGAAATGACCTACAGTTTCAGGGACCCTGTTTCATTTGTAGCCGTGTTCTCCACAATGCCCAGCACAGGGTGGAGCACATTGTAGCTATGGGCAGGCCTTTTAGAAAGGACTCTGTATGAAGTGATCAGTCAGAGGGCTGAGTGAAATCTAGGCATTCCGACTCCCAGATAGCTGTGATAGTACCTCCTGCTCGATCAGAGCAGAACAACTTTGTGGTTTGAACCTCCCCATCAGTTGGACAAGACACCCAACAATGAGTGCTATTAGGCCCGTTCCTGGGAAGATGGGAGGCTGGGAAAAAGTGAAGGCGATACAACCATGGCCAACAGCAGAGCAGTCATGAGGCTGCCTTTTAGCTGCTGCTCTGAGAGATAGTTGAGTCCTTCCAGACCTTTACAGCAAAGAGGCTCTAGTTGTTGCTCCCCCCCACCTGATCTCCAGATCGTATTGCAGGAGGCTTAAAAAATGAGCAAACCTAGATCCCCTAGAGGTCACAGATGTCATTAGTTCTTATTCTCCCTCTTGAGCCCTAGCCCCCACTGAGAAATAGTCTAGCCTGAGATTGCCATTTGTTATAAAAATAGAAATGGGCTTGGTGAAAGCCATTTCCCCCTGCCCTGTCTTATTCTTATTCAGGCAGATGAGAGTGTCTTATTATAACCTTGGGCTTCTCAAAATACTAGTCTCTTAGAGCTAAGACCCTTCCCTTCTAAGGGCCTTGTATGTGCAGGTAACTTCCTAAATGCCAGTTGGTGAGGAGACACTACTGGGTATTCAGTGTGTCGTCCCCCAGGATGTGGTCTCCACTTGTCCTATCCTAGCTTCCTCTGGACTTATTCACTCCATTCCAGGTTTTGTTGCTAATTAGAGGTGGGCTGCTATCAGTGCTTGGCAGAAGTCTGAGCTGAGCTGAGCTGGGATGGTAAGTCTAGACAGTGGTGCTGCCTATCAAAGGAGCGGAGGGCAGATGTTGGCAAGTTTTCTTGGGATGGCTTATACATCTTCCCCTTTCCTACTTTCCATGCTCTCCTCTCTTGGTTCTTGGATGCTTGTTTTCTGTCTTTAACAGGTTTTAGGGCCTTGCCAGTGGGGATCTATTCTAATCACATGGATTGTTACCACTTCCTTACTGCCTGCCACAGTGGATTCAGAAAGTGAGAGAGTGATATTTGGAGCCAGTGGGCATATGGTAGGATGGCTGGAAAGCCACAATAGAATTGCTACACTGATGCTATTCATATGTTGGGACCTTCGGAGCAGCAGTCTGCTCTTTCTCACTTCCATGGCTTTCTGAAGTGGTTTGGAGCTGACTTTGTGTGTCCTAATTGTGTTTGTTCCTGTGGCAAAGACAGTTGGGAGTAACTGGTTGTGTAGCATCTCCTGCAGTAAAGACTTCAGTTAGGCCTCATTCAGTAAGACTGGTGTCAACAGAGTGTGACGGGGGCTCCCCCCTCGGTTATCAAGGTTAAAATGCAAGCAGGGACAGAGATCAAACATGTGGCTAATTATCCTTTTAACACTTTGAGAGTCTGAGCTCTCCCCTGTATTCAGAGGGAATTAACAGATTAACTGCTGCCAGAATGAGTGAGTCTGGCCCCTGATTTCATCTGTATATTGGGTGTCTCTTCCTCTGAGGCTGCAGATTGGATTGCTGCCTCCTGTGTGTCACCAATTCCTCTCAAATCTGGATGAAGAGGCTATCAGGCAGAACCACTCACAAGGAATATGTGCAGGCGGCGGTTTGGGGGTGTATATGTAGCTTCTGCCAAATAGTACTAGCTCCGGCCACTACCAAGGGGGCTCCTTTCACTGAGCTGTAGCCAGAAGGAAGTTAGCCAGGCTGAGAAGGTGAGGAGGGAAGGGTGCTAGTGTTGGGAGCTAGATTTACTTTTTAGCCATAGGGAAAAGAATTTGTGAAAATAAACTCTTAACACATAATAAGTGCTTATTGTGTGCCATACACTGTCCTATGTAAAAGCAATTCATTCAATGAAAATAGATTATTTGTAAGTGTCTTGTTTTCTCTCAGAAGGAGGAACATAGTGGAGGTAAGTAGAACCAAAGGTTTACGATTCAGGAAAATAACTTTTAAATTTGTGTTTTTATTACCTTAATTGATGATTGTACTCCTGTTATATATACATTAGAGAGACTGAGTTAATTAAATATGAGTTCTTGTTACTATGGCCTCACATTATCAGTAGCCAACTAACTACAGGTAGAGAGCTTGCAGCTCCAAGTGGAACTGCCTGTACCTTGGGGTAACTGGTGCTCGGGAAGTAATATGGTGCAGAATTTATATATTATAGTTGATCCCTACAGTATAACCTTTAAGTACTAACCCATACACTAGGCACTGTGGTAAGTGCTCCAGGCACATTATTTTATTTATTTAAAATATTTTTATTGATTTCAGAGAGAAAGGGAGAGGGAGAGAAACATCAATGATGAGAGAAAATCATTTGATTGGCTGCCTCCTGCCCGCCCCCTACTGCGAATGGAGCCAGAAACCCCTGGCATGTGCTCTGACCAGGAATTAAACCCTGACCTGGTTCATAGATTGATGCTCAACCACTGAGCCATGCCCACCGGGCCAGGTGCACTGTTTTAATTATCCTTACAACTAACCTTTGACAGAGGGACTGTTACTACCTGTGGTCTTAGGTGAGGAAAAGGAGCTCGGTGATGTGATTGGGATGTACACTAGTGAGCTAGGAGAGAGTAGCCCTTGACCCCCAGCATATACTGATGGGAGTTTCATTTGTCTCTCAGATTGCTTCTCGGAGGAGTGTCGCTCTGTGATCCAGGAGCAAGCTGCAGCCCTGGGCTTGGCCATGTTTTCTCTCTTGGTGCGGCGCTGCAGCCACTTACTTAAGGAGTCTGCCAAAGGTGAGCAGAGGAGGGGCTGGCCCCTGACTGGTTGGCTTTCCAGCTGCTTGGGTCCTGTCCAACAATGAATGTCATGCTGCTTTCTCCATGTCTTCACCCTCTGTTCATTCTTCTACTTTCCAACACCTTATCTACCTAACTAGTCCCCTCTCCTTTTCCAATTTGATTACCTTTATGGCCTGCTTTTCTCTTTGTAAAACTATTCCCTCCTTCTTTTCTCCTTCAGTAGTTAGGATTTATACTGTACATCTAAGCTGCTGCATGTTCTTATACTTTAAAAACACACAGAAAAGGGAATTTTCCTTTTTGTTTATAATTGATGTTTTGGTTTTCCTCCTTTATATGTCTTTCTTTGTCTGGTGGGTGCTATAAAGGTTGTGGATGAGCCATATTGAAAGACCCACTGGACTTTTAAAAATATATATATATATATATTTTATTGATTTCAGAGAGGAAGGGAGAGGGGGAGATAGAACCATCAGTGATGAGAGAGAACCATTGATTGGCTATCTCATGTATGCCCCCTCCTGGCGATCGAGCCTGCAGTCTGGGCATGTGCCCCGACCCAGACCTCTTGGTTCATGGGTCGATGCTCCACCACTGAGCCACACCGGACATTCAGCAGGGACTATTTTTAGCTGTTGGGTTATGCAGTATCCTATATTCTTAATGCTGCCCTTAGAATTCCAAGCCTGATTGCTGAGCTGTAAAGCAGGGCTGAAGGTTGTGCCTTTCTCTCAGCTCCTGGCTCAGTATTTGTGAATAGTTCGGCCCCTCTGTCATCCTCCTGCCACATCAGCTTTGTGAATGTGTCCAGCCTCTGAGGCTGCCTTTTATTTTTTATTTTTTGTTTGTTTGAGGGATGGTGGAGGTCACTTTTAATTTGGAAACAATTATAAATTTATAGAAAAGTTGCAAGAATTACACATTTCTAAATGTTTCTAAATGTTGTTAGCATTTGACCATATTTCCTATAAGTTCTCTCTCTTTCCACACACACACACACGTACTTATGCTTATTTTTCTTCTGAACCTTTTAATATAAGTTGTAGACATGGTAGCCCTTTACTCCCAAATACTTGATTGTGTACTTCCTAATAACAAGGACATTCTCTTACATGATAGTACAGTATCAAAATCAGGAAACCAACAGTGATATAGTACTATTATTGAATCTACAAACCTTAGTTTGTACCAATTGTTCTAAAAAGTGTGTGTGTGTGTGTGTGTGTGTGTGTGTGTGTGTGTGTTTGTATGTGTATGTGTGTGTGTGTTTTTCTAGCCTAGGATCCACTTCAGCATCACACTTTGCATTTAGATGTCATGTCTCTTTAGTCTCCTTCAATCTGGAATCGTTTCTCAATCTTTCTATTTGCTTTACGACCTTGACATTTTAAAGTGTACAGGCCATTTATTTTGTAGAATGTCCCACAATTTGGGTTTCTCTGATATTTCCTCATGATTAAATTCAGGTTACGCAGTTTTGGCAGGAACTCTGGTACCATCTCAGTACTGTGTTGAAGGAAAGCTGAAATGGGGTGAGAGGCCAGAATAGCAACTTCAACCAGGCCACAGGTGGAACAGAAACAGCTGTCTGCAGGGGCAAACCCAGTGCACTGGTTCTCTGTCCTCCCTTTCAGAATCCTCTTAGGTGCTGATACTTTCCTTCGCTCTTGGGCCCAGATGTCCTGTGGACTTGGTCTCCCTTCCCTAAGAGCTTGCTGCAGCCCCAGCACCCCAGGCCTCACTCGGGGGCTACAGCAGACATAGGCCCAGTTCTCCCCTTTGCCTCTGCAGCTCAGCCATCCTCTCCTGAGGATGAGGATGACCAAGATGACATCAAGGTTTCTTCCTTCGTTCCGGACCTGAAGGAACTGCTCCCCAGTGTGAAAGTCTGGTCAGACTGGATGCTCGGCTACCCAGACACCTGGAATCCTCCACCCACATCCCTGGATCTGCCCTCACAGTGAGTCAGCCTGCTCATTCCTTCAGCATTGCTGGCCTTGGCCCACCTGTGTTCCCACAGCTCCCCTCCCAGTTCTCTTCTTTGTTTCCTCTCACCCACAGCCCCTTGTTCTCTCTTCCCTCCTCATTTGGACTTTGGTTTTTCCCTTCCTTGAACATCTTCCTTGTCTCCTGATGTTTCAGGTTATTTTTGCCTATGCTCTGGTCTATTCCTCTCTTTCTCCTCTCTCAATTTCTCTTTTTCTCTCCATAGCTTGCTCTGTTTTGTTCTTTTTCCTTACTCTTACTCTCTCATTCACTTCATATTGTTCATGCTCACTATTTCTGCAGCCACCTTTTGAGTGTCAGTGTGTGCGTGAGAGACTTTGTCTCTCTTACTTTATCTCTGTGCATCTTTCAGGCTATCGCTCACTGCTTTTTGTGCTCTGGTGCTCTCTGTCTGCTTGCTTCCTCTCACGACATTGTAGTGTATGGGGAGGGATGAGTGCATGTACCTCTTTATTTCACTTGCTTCTTTCCCTTTCTCATCAGCATCTCCTACCTCCACCTTCCTGCTGTGTTTCATTGTGGAGTAGATGTTTATGCCTGGGTATATCTATGTAGATTTTTTTTGTGTGTTTATATGACTTTTTCTTTTTTAAAAATTATGGTAAAAAATGTATAGCAGTAAACTTAATAGAAATATATGTAACAAAATTTGCCAACTTAATCATTTGTAAGTGTACAATTCAGTGGCATTTTACATTCAAATTGTTGTGCAGCCACATACGGTTATTCTTTTGTCTGTATCTGTGTGTGTTGTATCTCTCTGTGTGCCTGATTGGGCTTGGTTGTCTCTATGTCTGAATGTCTAACTGTATTTTAGTGTGAGGGTCTGTGTGTTTGTCTCTGGAGATCTTTTTAAGGGTCTTTCAGTGTACCTGTCCATGCCTGTCTGTGTATGTGTCCATATCTGTGTATCTCTATCTATCCTTGGGTGCATGTATCCCCAGGGGTCTGTTTCAATGTGTGTCTGTGTCCATATCCATGTCTGTCTGATTTTGGGTCTATGTTTGCTTTGGTCATGTTCATGTTTCTTTGTGTGACTGTGTCCTGTGCATGCCTAAATGTCTGTATACAAGACTGTCTATACTGTGTTTGTGTTTGCTTGTGACTGTGCCTCTCTGTTGGAGGGAAGAGTTCTGTGTATGTGGGTTTGCTTGTATCAACCTGCCTCTACCTGCTTCACCTGTGTCTCTTCGCCTGCCTCTGTCTGCTTGCCTGCTTGCCTCTGTCTCTTCCTCCTGCCTATTCCTGTCTGTCTTGGCTTGTCCCTGCCTGCTTGCCTCTGTCTTTGTTTCCCTCTGCTGTTTTTGTATCTATATCAGGGTTAGCAAACTACATCCCATGAGCTAAGAATGACTTACATTTTTTTCATGGTTGAAAAAATTAAAATATATATATATATATATTTCATGAGTTGTGAAAATGATATGAAAGTCAGATTTCAGTGTCCATAAAGTCATATTGGAACACAGCCAGGCTTATTTGTTTGCACCTTGTCTGTGGCTGCTTTCATACTATACCAGCAGAGACCTTACGGTCTGCAAAGCCTAAAATATTTATTATCTAGCTTGTTACAGAAAAAGTTTGCTGACTCCTGATCTATATCCATGTTTCCATGTATCCCATTCTTCTCTGTATTAGTGTAACTATCTCTGTGCATATTCGTGTTTGCACATTATTGTCTTAATGTATGTGCATGCAGGTGCCTATCTCTGGTCAACTGTTGATTGTCCATCCCCATTCCTCCTCCTTCCTTTCTCTTTCTCTTATCACTCACTCACTCACTCTCTCTTGGTTTCTCTGTCTCTGTTGTTGCCTCTCTATCTAATTCTCTGTTCCTTCCCTCTCCTTCCCACTCTTTGTATTGTGGCCTCTGGCAGGAATAGTGCACTCAGAGCTCCTTCTGGCTCTCTGTTGGGTGTGTATGTATGCCTGTTTGGTAACAGGTATCCATACCCAGCATCTCATCATTCTCCATGCTCCTCTGAGGGGGAAAATACTGGAGGATACAGTGTGAAGACCTGGGCTCCTACAGACAGCATTTCTGGGGAGTGGGAAGCTTTCTGGTCTGGGGCCAGCCATGTCAGTCTCTACTCGTAGGTGATCCACAGAGGGAATGCTGCAGCAGAGATTTTTAGCCAGCAGTTATTGATCTTTCTGTGTGCACTGTGTAGTCTTACATCCCCCCCCCCCTTCCTTCCTCAAATTCCTTTCTTGTTCTCCACCCCAAGATGCCCCCTGGACTGTTTGGCCCTCTTTCCCTATCTCCCCCAACTCTAACTCTGTAACTGTGTGAGTGATACTCGCAGCATCAGACAATCCTCTGCATCCTTTCTGTAAACCCTCTTAGATTTCCAAATTGCACTCTAGGCTGGGCCTTAGGAGCCAGGGTTAAGTCCTGAGCTGGGCAGCTGGGGCCACAGAAAGGAACTGATGGATCTGCTAGCTAGGGTTTCCCAGCCATGTTCCCCAAAGAGTTAACATGTACAGCTTCAAACTTTTCAGGCTATTAATCTATAATGCCGGCTAGGCAATTTGCAATTTTAGTAAGAAATTGACAAAGGCTCAGCTCTCCCTAGTTTCTGAAGCCACTGCTTTTGAGCATGCGCAACGTAACAGAACATTCCTCCCTTCCTTTCGTGGGGTGGCAGACTCTTTGTCTCTGGAGCCTGGGCCTTCCCTGGGTCACCTCACTTCACAACCATAAGTCCCTCAGATATGGTCCATCCCACCAGTATTTACCCAGATCCTGGGCCATCGGCCTGTTAACTCTCTTCTGCGGCTGTCTCCTTTCATCCCTCCTCCCTCTCTCATTCCCTTTGGCTTTTGTTTGGCTGAGGAAATGGAAAGCTCACACAGGAAGTGCTGGGCCTCATTTGCTTGAGGTGCTGAGTCTGTTTTTTCTTTGGATGCTGCAGCAAATGGCCCATTGCCGGTTTATGCAAGTTGCTGCCCATCTTTGGGCAAGGGCTCAATCAGCAGCTGGGCACGTGGTCCTGAGCTACAGCCATCCCCAGCTGGGCTTCACCTCCTGGACCACAGAGAGGCAGAGAGGGTTGGGATACTTGACAAATCTGCTTTTTTTTTTTTTATAGATTTTTTCACAGGGGGAGCAAATCTGACCAAGTAATACATTGAATCTGATTGTCCAGTAAACAGGTTCCTATAGTTGTGGGGCATCACTTACTCTCTGATAAATCCTCTAGGCTAGAGAAGTCAGTATGATAGAGAAGAGAGTTCTCTTCTGCACTCTCTGGAGGGTCAGCAGCTGGTTGTCTCTGGAATGTAAGTTTAAGCCTAAAGGAGGGGCATTGTTGTCCTGGAGCCTGACCACAAGGCATGGTGGTTTGAAGGTTGGTGCCACTGCTGGACAGAGCAGACCTGGCCCTACCTCATAGCCTTCAGATCCAAGCACTGAAAAAATGGCATATGAATTTATCTTCTTCTTTTTCAGTTTCTCATATGGCTGCCTAACACTGAGTAAATACTATGGTTGAGAGATTGGCAAGGTATGGTAATTCTCTGGGTTTCAAAGTTGCATTTTATGCCTACTGATCTTTCATTTTGTGGAGCCTTTTCTTTAAGGCCGTAAGGAATGACATACTTCAGATAGTTGTGTAGATGTCAGAATAGTAGCTCCTCTGACATTCTTAAGGTCCTTGTGTGATCTTCATTTTGGAGGGTTTAGGAATGCTCTCAAGAGAGTAGGAAGGAAAGGGTTTCCACTTAACACCTCTGCTTTGCATGCTTTTATTGGTCTTTGCCTGAATTGTTCTCTGTGAAGACAAATTCCTCATTGATAAGGTGGCCAGATGGCCTACATTTTAGTTTGCTTCTCTTCCAGAATCTCCTACACCCAAATTGTCTCTCTTACACACTTGAACCCTTATTTAATCTTGTTCCCTATTTTGTACTGTCTTTCCTAAAAGGAAAGAGATTAGAGAATAATTTTGAAGCGTCCTCCACATTTCTAGGGATATTCCAAAGCTCATCATTAGTCTCCTTAGTTCTCTCCTTTAGTCCATATTCCTCTTCTTTCTGATTATATTTACTTTTCCTAGTCAATAGCCACTTAGGCACATGTGGAACACTTAGAGTGATAAGGGCAGGATTTCAGGGCCATTTGTGCCTTCCCACTCAGTGGCACTTAAGCATTTTTGTGCTGGGTCAGCATGTAAGTAGGTTGACTACCCATTTGTACCTGTTGTAATAAGATGGCTTTATATCCCAGGAGGTTTTGGTACTGTGGATTATAGCAGGGTGTGGAAAGTTGCTTTGGGCCACTATAAGAGAGTATCGAATGCTTTGGTCCATTTAGAACAGACCACAGTGTTTGGAGGGGCCATCTGCTTATTGGGGTGGTGGTGAGGGGAGGGCACATTTCTGTTCCAGGCCTCTTACTAGAAGGTAAAGACAGCTACTCCCGACCTTAACAAGTGAGCATGAGTGAAGTTGTGAATGTCAGGTGATGGAGAGGAGCAGAGCAACAGGCTTCCACAAGCCTAAGCATAGTGACCTCTTGCATCCCAGGACCTTTGGCAAGGCTAGGGCAGTGGGACAGCCTACCTCATTTCAGAGTCTCTGCTGAAGCCAAATCTTCCCTCATCTTGATCTCTAGTTCTCAGTAAGTGAAAGAGTCAGGGGACTTTGAGAACATCCAAACCTAGCCCAGCTGTGGCAGTTGGTTTATTGCTTTCAGCTGGTACTTGAACCCAGGTCCTGGTCTTGGAGGCTTTCCCAGGTTTAATCCCCAGAGCTTTCTCTGCAGCTGTATGACACTGCGCTGACCCCGAATGAGGATAGGAAAATAGAACCAGTGCCAAGCCAGAGTCTCTTTTTCATTTGGAGTCTGGCTGTCTGCCCATGACCAGGGTTACATAATGGGAAACATAGCTGGGGCTCTGGAGAGCCCGCGTTTCACCAGGCTGCCCAGACCTTAGCATTCTGATGCTATAT